GATCTTGGCTCGTACAGAAGTAAAAAATCAGCAATTCTAATTCATGGCAAAAGCAGCGGTGCTACAAATATAATTATCTCGTTCCCGTAGCTATGCAGAAGACGTTACTTCAGTAACGTCTGGCGCTAGCCAGGGTCCACACAGCTTTAATTTGGTGTTTGTGTGTTTGTGTGTTTGCGTCACGCCTGGCGCTATCCGTATCTGACGGCAAAAAGCATAGGATGTTATAAATTTTTCAATTCTCCTATTTTTTTTTCAGGCATATCCTGGGATTCGAACCCGCACTATCGCCCTACATGCATTCCCCCATACACTTCGCATTGATACCCATTCTTCCATGTTGCTTCACGTTATTATCTTGCGCTTGAAAGCCCTATTTGAATATTGCGGGCAGCTGTATGTGACAGCTGTGTTTGATGGTACGGTACGGTACGGGAGACGGTGTCGTATTACCCTCTATCGTACCTGTCCCGTACCTATCCCCTACCGTACCGTGCCATCAAAGACGGCTGGCCACAATGCATATTCAAATAGGGCTTTCAAATGCAAGATCACAATGTGAAACAACAACAAGAATTAGTATGTATGCGAAGTGTATCGGGGGATGCATGCAGGGCGCGCGATAGTGCGGGTTCGAATCCCAGGTTATGTCTTTAAAAAAAGGATTTTTTTAAAGAATTTATAACATCCCTATGCTCTTTTTTTGTCTAGGTCATCAAGCCAAAAAAAGCATAGCGTAGGGCACTGAGCTTCCAAGCTCTCTCGTACTTTACAGCATGTCTATCTCCACCTGATCATATCTTTCCTTGCCAACTTGGCAAGGGATTGCTGACCTCCACACTGCATTACGTTCTACCAAAACGTCCAATGACTAGCTGGAGCGCAAGTTGCTATTGTTTCTGCTGTAGCATCGCTTTCATCGCCTCCGGTGGTGGGCGTCAAATGGTCAACAAAATGGTGTGTGTATGTGTGTTTGTGTTTGTGGCTGTGTGTGTGGGGGGGGGGGGGCGTGGGTGTGTGTGTGGGGGGGGGGGGAGGGCGTGGGTTTGTGGGTGTCCGGGCGCTCAAATGTGGGAGACTGTGCGTTTATGTGTGGGTATGTTTTTGTATGTTCTTGTGTCTGTTTTACAACATGTTTGTGTGTGTTTGTTTTGCATCTGTTGGTGTGCGTGTGTGTACGTGTATGTGTGTATGCATGTATATGCACATGTTCATGCATAATGTATGTTACATCTCTGTTCAGATTGTGGAAGACTGCTTTCTCCCAGCACTCCATGTACATCACTGTTCAGATTGTGGAAGACTGCTTTCTCCCAGCACTCCATGTACATCACAACAATCATACTCACACAGTGGACATAACTCGTTGCCGGTATCCCGGTATACTTGTTTGTGTCATTCTTCCCCTGCCACTGCTCTGCCCTATCCAACGTGTTCTTTTTCCTCATCTCCACATGTATCATAATATTGTATTCTTGAGTTGATTGCTCACCAGTTGTGGATATGCTCCATGTTTATTCTTTTCAAGGTGACCGACCTTGAGAATATTTTCTCAAAGAGCAGCTCCACCACCTCCCCCCCCCCCCCCCCATCTTCCCTCCTCTCTCCCAATTTCACATGCGCACACGCGAGCATGTGCGCACATACATAATGTGTTCCATTGTTTGCTGTGCTTGCCAAGACTGTTGGTATGTTTCCATGGACTGTGTTTTTTTGCTAATAAATGTTCCTACTCTTGAAAATTCAATTTGGCTTACTCAAGAGCATCGTTCTTTTGTTCTTATTTTTGCAGCTACATCTCTACATATATATGTCCCTAGTCTTTAATAAAATTTATTATGACTTGCTCTAAGGCACCTCTATTTGCTGTAACAATTGCACAGTATTCTTTTCATTTTTCACTTGATTTTGTTCACATTTTTGCTTGTGCGTGCATACATAATTAATTTTGTTCTATTGTTTGCTGTGCTTGCCAAGACTGCTGGTATGTTTCCATGGACTGTGTTTTTTTGAATATTTCTCCCACCTCTCTCCCAATCCCACACGCGAGCACGTGCGCGCATACATATTTTGTTATATTGTTTGCTGTGCTTGCCAAGACTGCTTGTATGTTTGCTAATACAAAGTATAATGTACATGTACATGTATATATAAATGTTCCTAAAATTCAATTTGGTTTGCTCTAGAGCATCTTTGCTTTGTTCTTATTTTTTGCAGCTACATCTCTACAGAAATATCCCTAGTCTTTAAACTTCACTATGGCTTGCTCTAAGGCACCTCTATTTGCTGTGACAATTGCACAGTATTCTTTTCATTTTTCACTTGACTTTGTTCACATTTTTGCTTCTGCTGAGACTTGAATTGACCCAGTATTGAACTTGGCAGCTGAACTTCATCTCCCTTCCTCATTTTTTTGCCAGAACAGGTCATGCCGTTTGTCTCTTCTCCACTTTGCGTGCTTATTTGAGAAATTAATGTGATGGAAATCATATCCGTGTAATTATAGGCTTGCATTGTTCATAGTCACTGACTCCAGTGTTGCTCCAGGGCCGAATCAGCCGGGCGAAGGACCCGTTTGGTGGGGGGGGGAGGTGTACTTGGACCCGTTTGAAAAAAGAACACCGGGTCACTTGTGACCTGATTGGAAGATGTCCATGTGCATGTTGTGTAGGTAGTCAGTGTTTTCCACTTCAAAGAGGTACACACTGACACATGTATGTTGTGTAGGTAGTCAGTGTTTTCCACTTCAAAGAGGTACACACTGACACATGTATGTTGTGTAGGTAGTCAGTGTTTTCCACTTCAAAGAGGTACACACTGACACATGTATGGTGTGTAGGTAGTCAGTGTTTTCCACTTCAAAGAGGTACACACTGACACATGTATGTTGTGTAGGTAGTCAGTGTTTTCCACTTCAAAGAGGTACACACTGACACATGTATGATGATCAGCATGAACACCATACCTGCTAACCATGCAGATTTGGCAGGGACCGTCCCCATATCGAGAGTGGTAAAAGGTACTACCAAAAGTGGATATTTACGCATGCCTCGCAACTACATTAATTTATATAATTTTATATACATTTTCATAACTATTTCTCTCTCCAAGTACATGTACATGTATGTACAGTCTACTCACCGTAAGTCACGCACCGTGTCTGTCCTGGAATAGAAAATGTGCGACGTATGGCGAGTGTGTGACTTACATCAGATTCTGCAGCACTACGTCATCTACACTGTACACTGTACGTATTGTCAGCTAGCTGTATGCAGAAGCACTGCTGCTAGCTAGTGAACAGAGCATGTTTATCCACTACAGTAAGAGTTAGTAGTTGAGGAGAATATCTCGCCAAAAGCATGTGTTGTTGCCACGGTCAACATGCTACATGTACAGTTGCAAGTCACGTGGTTTGGGTAGTCAATTCCCGACGCAGTAGCTAGTACACAACCTTCTAGGTTTCACTCCTAGTAAACCTGTACTTCATCACCTTTGCTTATGTTATTCATTTCGAAAGAAAATGATATTCACTTTAGTCGATCTTCCTTCCACTTCAGTTCTAGTGGCCATGATTTAGCAGGAGCGGCCAGGTATGGATGATGGCTTGGAGCCTTGCTCCCTCATTTTTCCCATCTCCCAAACAGTTGCAAGGTTCTATTCTACCGATGCTGATTATACTGCCTTTATTAATTTTGATTACGCTGACATAACATGATGTGGTCTTAGTGCAGCTGCTGTTTCCAAGCTTGAAATTCACCATAGAAAATAATGAAACGGCTATTTGGAAAATCCCTCATGCATAACATTAAGCATAATTATAAATTATAGTCTCTCGTAGCCTCCTCTCCACTTGCTGATACAGTGATAGACGCCAAGCACACCTGTGTGCACTCGTTCAGAAATATATCTTAACAAAATAATGTTGGAAATGGAGTGCGCATTTTCGTGACTGCCACAAATTCTGCGGAAGCAAAAAAGTTACGGACTCCAAAGGGTTAAGCAAATTCCCAGGCACTTCAAGAAATATGATCGGTTCTAGCGAGAGAGAAATACAAGACAACAGGTACAGTATCATTACCTTCCCCTCGATTGTCCCTAATAATCAAATCACCTGTCTTAATGGCTTACACATTTTGCCTCAAACTCTCTTACACTATTTGCTGTTCACAGTCTTTTTCAGCTTTTAAAGACGTATTTCAGCTAAAATAGTATTGTGCTAACTGCTGTTGACACATGGTGACTGACACCTACCTTCCTTTTCTTCTTTTTGATAATGCTATTTTCCGTGGTTGGATTCACCCTCCCTTTCTTGTATTGGCTATGTATTATTATGTGCCATGAAGTGGAGACGACCAATAAAAAATAAATGGTGGACGTAGTTATGAGGGTGATGAGTCATATGAAATGTTTGAAAATGTGTCAGAGTCAGGCCCGTTGGATGAAACTGAACAAGGAAATTTGTCAAAATTGTCAGGAGCTTGATTATCCCGCACAGGATTATTTGAGCGGACCTCAGATCCAATGCAAACCAGGACAAGAGTAACTCAAGGGCAAAAACGTTATACGAAGGTTTTGCATATTAGCCCTGCCGCTAGAGTTACGGAGTTCCCACACTATTTTCTCACCATCTCTACTGTAAAGTAGTTTTGTGAAGTGTGTCACCTTGTATTTGTAAGTTGTAGTGATACCAAAAAATAGCATAACGTCATAATGCTTGGGAGCGACATCGCCACAGCAAGCAGCAGAAGGAGAAGGCTAAAATCCATCAATCGACTTGATCCGTCTCATGGTACACCAACATAGAGATAGTGACTGATTAGTGAGCAGATAGACGACACAAGCCTCGATATTCTTTGTTGCCGAGGGACATAGCTCGTACACATCTTCGTGGCGCATCCCTTCATCTCATCGGGATATTCCTGTCCTGAGCCTTTCAAGTTGGAAGGTTGTTGGTTTCCGCTTCGTAGATGTATTGAAGCTACATGTACATTAGGTGTCAGGTCGTCGAATGTCTCAATATCCGTTTTGTCAGTTTTGTGCCTTGTTGTCGCATTATCTGACTGTATATTATCTCGTTACCTTGGTGGACTGTCTGTCATAACTAGTAACTTATAGGTCCTTTTCGTTTTACAACTAATTGTGCACTCATAACCATGTATAAACAAACTATTAAAATGAAAATTCCAGAACGTTTTCTCGTGACTATCATCAGTGGAACATCGTCACATTATGTAGTAAGAATCACTAAAACAATCAGTTATAGCTAGAAGTAGTGGTTGCGACTTCGGCGATGATTTGTAAGAAAGGGTTTGCTCCCCACACTGGAGCTTGCGCTATTCCGCCGACTTTACTTGACACTTGACTTACTCACGACTGCCATCCAGAGCACACGAGAAGAGAGCACAATATAAGTGGTGCTCTTCAGGCACAATCTTCCTCAGCCTACTCAAGCTCAACTGATGAGGGGTGAATTCCCCGAAACACTGTGTATTGAGCAGGGAGTGGTGCTTTCTTGCAGGTTTGCCGAGTCGAAGGTTCGATGGACTTCTCGTGTGCTCTGGATGGCAGTCGTGAGTCAGTCAAGTGTCAAGTAAAGTCGGCGGAATAGCGCGAGCTCCAGTGTGGGGAGCAAACCCTTTCTTACAAGATATAGCTAGAATAATAATAATATTATTATGATAAGGAGCGTGAGAATGCAGCACCTCGCGGTTATGCATAACGCACACACAGCTGCCACATTCATCCACTGGCACTGCTACCATTCTCAGATCCACTGCATAGGTTCACACTAAACGCGATATGCATAACCGCGAGCTGCTGCATTCTCACGCTCCTTATTCTGGCTATAAACATGTAACTGGTTGTTTTAGTGATTCTTACTACTCTTTGTGACGATGCTACACTGATAATAGTCACGAGAAAACGTTGGGGAATTTTTCAATTTAACGAAAGAGCTTGGAAACTCAGGACCCTACGCTATGCTTTCTTTGCCGAGCTCATCATGCATGTTATTAGAACTGATGGAACTTTCAACTTTCTCTTTGGCCCCAACTTCGTTGCGGTCTTATTGTGTTTAACGTAGACCATGCCGGCTACAATGCCTAACCATACCACAACGAACTGATCGGCTACATCGTTCTATTGCAAAAAATATCCATATGCTCGAATAACATCGAAAAATCGAATTTGAAAATTTCATATCGAGTGCTACATCAGTTGAAAGAGCATGAATAGCTGCAAAATCTCTGACTGCACGCAGTACAGTGCCGTTACCTGTTGTACCTTGTACTTACCATAGCAAGTGATTTACCTATCAAATCTGTAATTTATCGCTACATTCCGCTTGGTTACGACCAAATTTCCACAAATTTCCACAAATTTCCAGCTGTGGTTTGATGTACATATACCTGTACCTGTATAGTACAGCGCTCAGTGTGAATGGTGGTTCAGGTTCACTGAAACTACTGGGTTTCTCATCTTGATTGTTCTTCTGCAGATTGCGTCCGAAATAACGCCCATGCCCAAATATACGCCTGGTTTTTGACGCTCTGCAAAGTATACTATACGCCCGGGGCTTATTAACGGAATTTTACGGTAAGAGCCCAGTCTCCAATAATAGCCCAGTCTCTAATAGTAATAGCAGCGCGGGTAGAGCTGTCACTGAAAAAATAAGAACCCCGGGCTCTTAGAGAAAATACGGTATTAATACTAATGGCTTTTGTGGGGTAGTGCCTTTGCTGTTTGCGTTATGCAGAGCTCACTGACTTGTCAGTTTGAGCACTCTGGCAAGGTACGTTCGGGCCTGATTGGAAATTTTTATTTCCATTGTAGTCCATCGGCCAAATCTCAGAAAGGGCCTCTTTCGGCGAAGGTGACGCACTGAAGCTCCAACTAAACGCCCTTTGGCACACTAGCTCATGAGACCCCATAGAATACGAATCCGATTGTTGGACGTTGCCAATCCAGTCCAGGATAGTCGAACTGGGTCGAATACCTTCTTCCGATTTTCGTAATTTCGTCCACCATTACATCTTTCTCATCGACTTTTTTTCGCTTGGCGAATGTTCTTGAGCCGCTGAGCAGGATCTACGCACGCTCGAACACTTGAAATGCCTGCATGTTGACGGTTCGCAAGATTCTAGCGAGCTTGGTGGAAATCTATTATTTTATTTTGACATTTTTGGGGGAATCTGAATGGACCGTATGCGTGTTAAAACAAAATGGCGTCACGATTTATTGAAAGTGGTATAGTTGGTGGAACGAGTGTTCAAACTAGGGCTCAAACGGTCACGGTTTTACCCCTGACGGTTAACTGCTAAGCTAACGGTCGGTTAACCGGTTATAACCTATAAGCCACGGCAATCCTGCGGACTCTTTTTTAACCGTATATTTGACTATACTCATTCAAAAAATGTACCCTATTCAGTACAACGCACACATGTACATTCTCTTGCATGCTCATTCATACATACTCTCACACCAAGAGACCAGATATGACCG